ATTGTCAAACACATAATAGTCTTACAATATTAGAGAACAAAAGCCTAATTTCAATTTCAATTCAGTTTATTTATATAGCACCAATCCACAACATGTGTCATCTCAAGGCACTTTACAATTCAATCAGATCATGCAGTCAAATTGATTCAAAGTTTTCTGTCTAAGGAAAACCAGTTGATTGCATTGATTCATTGACTCAAAGGCAATCCCTCACACCAAGCAAGCTTGTAGCGACAGTGGAGAGGAAAAACTCCCTTTCAACTGAAAGAAACCCCCAGCAGAACCAGGCTCAATGTTAGCGGCCATCTACCGAGGCTGACCGGGGTTCAAGGAGATCAAAGTAGACATAGTAAAAGGAGCAGAGAACAAAAGGCATAATGTATAGTAAAATAAGTAACACCCCGGGTGCGGAACACTGAACATTTTTTTTTGGGGGGGGGGGGGGGTTCAAAATTAGCATAATTTTCTGTGATTACAGCATTTTGTTTTGGTTCGCAGCATATTTTTGTTTCCATTTGTTTTTCTGTGTTTGCATTTCAGACTTTGCATCATGCATGTGTTTGCAGCTGTATGTTTTTACCCATCTGCAGCTCACTTCTTTTTTTAGTTGCAGCATTTATTTTTTGCATTTGTTGTTTTGTGATTGCGTATTTTGGAGTTTGCGTGATTTTACAGCTTATTTTGTTGCTGACAGAGCTTTTGCACCTGTCAGCAACAATACAATTAGCCTCATACAGACAGAACGGTAAAGAAAATATCTGAAAATAAAGTAATTATGGGCCTAAATAATATGTTGTTTCTGTAAGTAAATCAAAACAAATCATCAACAGCTGTAAATGGTAATGGACATAAATTACAAATCCTTGGAAATCAAATGTATTGGTAATATCCTGGTGGGTATCTGAAAGTTTAAAATGGATGAGCTTAACCAAACAGNATAGGCTATCATTTGATCGTTCACGCTCTCCATAGTTCTCCTGTGGCGCGAGCACAGGGCGACTGTTGCGCACCTTTAGCGAGCATGCGCCTTTGCTGTCGCTTGCGCGGTGAATCGTGCCGCCTGCGCTGTGCGGAGATGCAGGGGAAACCGTATCTGATGGGGTAACGCAGCTTGACGTAACACCGGTATTTCCATCTGGAAAACGCTGTTTTGCTGCTGGAGTCATCCTCACTCTCCATCTCTCTGTGCGTGCTGTACGTTAACACCCGCCAGCAGAAGCACCCACCTACCCAACTGACAGACGGAATCTCACTATACATCAGCCATTCTCATCCTCCCCTCTCTCATGACAAGGCGCACACGAGTCTTATCATGAAAAAAGGTTAATTGTGCGACCTGAGTAACACGCAGTAACACGGTGTCTGCAATGGTAACTGCGTTATAGTTACAGTCAAAGTAATTAGTTAGATTACTCGTTACTAAAACAAGGTTACTTTCAACGCCGTTAGTCCCATCACTGTTAGTAATATCCCTTGTCTACAAAGCCATATTCAATTCATGAAGCTGATGTCAGGTGGGTATCTGAAAGTTTAAAATGGATGAGCTTAACCAAACAGGTCAATTTGAAATATATAAAAGAAATAGTTGCAAACCAACAGGAAATCTGTATCTTGGAAGAGGATTAGTTGAATCATTTAACATGCTTTTAGAATATTCAAATAGAAACCTAATACAACTGAAAACCTTTATTCTATTTACCAGTATGGAATTGGTGGATTGAACAACTCAAGAACAGTACAAGAGCTACTTTGATTAAAGAAATGTCCAGTATGTCGATTAGAGCTGAGAAATGAGAGCAACTAATCACTAATTCTGGGTTTCTTTGAAACGCAAACATTGCTAACAGCCTATTTATTTTTTTGTTTGAATAGCTTAAGCTTCTGCTTGTTACGCTCCTGCTTATTACTGTCATTTTGCAAAGACAAACTTAATTATGGGGTTATTAGAATAAATTGAAATGAATATCTGCTTAAGAGTTAAGCAAATACTGTGCCCTTGAGTTGCAGAAAGTGCATGCTGATGAGCAAAATTCCTCTATCATAATCAAAATGTGGTCTGGCAAAGTGTTTCAGACCGACCTAGAAGTATTTTTAGGACTCAGAGTTCATGGCAACTTTTATTTACTTGTGCCTTTAATTCTTAAAGGTTCAAAGAACTCAATGCCCATTACCTGAGGAAGACTCTTCTGTAAAAATGTAATGCTGATTATAAGTGAGTCCTCATTAAGCTGAGCAAGGATTCCCAGAAGAAGATGGGCAGAAAATCTCAGAGTAAGTGGTTACAATGAAGTCCAAGGTTGTTCGATACATAGTCATTTATAGTAATGCACGTATAGTCGGCTAGACATGCACTTTTTTTCCCCAATCTGATATGATGCCAACGCCTGGGTTTAGCATATCGACAGATACATGATACCGATCCGATACTACTATTGAATGAATGAACCTTATACCTTGTTAGGTTGGGTAAGGCATCAAACAGGGCATCAGGGTTAGAAAGACAGTTTTAAAGTAAAGGTAATAAATCAACATAGATAAATGTCCTCACCAGCTGCTGTGCATGATGACATAACCTTGTTTGTAAATATAGATCGACATTGACAATGAATAGAAAATGGAGGGAGTAACAATGCATGCTCTTTACTTGATCTCAAGGGATGGCTGCTAACTTTTTACCTTGCAAGCAAGATGGATTGTCGCAAGATTTGTAAATTCACAAACTAACGAAAAGAAATCTTCCTTGAAGCCAAAAGATGCATTGTCATCAAAAAAG